ATCCCATCCCATCCCATCCCATCTGTCTTAGTTTAGGGCAAATTAGGGAGGAAAACTCCAAATGGGGGTTTCCCAGGGAAATGACCCCTCCCCACCAACTGGTCTGGGAAAGGAAAAAAAAATTCCTTGGAGAGAAGTGGAAAAAGCTGATTATTTAACAGAAATTGAATCATATTAAATAATAAAACCTCTCGCTGTTCGATGGGATGGCAAGTCTAGGAAGAAAAGTCCTTTTCATGTGGTGTAGCTCGGCTCACTCAGGTTCTTATCAGTCCCTACAGTGCTGGAAAGTGCCAAGGCCCAGGCCCCGGTGGGCCACAGGTGTGAGCTCCTGGGGTTTGGCTGGGTGTTCAGTCCAGAGCAGGCTTGCACAGATCCAAGAAAACCCAAAGGTCCAGGGAACTCCTCTGCCTCAGCTAGCTAAAGCTAACTAAAAGCCAGAGAGAAGCTCTGTTCCGCTGTCTGTCCGTGCTGCAGACACCACAGTCCAGGAGCGGGATGTGTGGGAGTGATGTTTTCCTTAACACACTGCGCGCTGCTTCTTCCCCCTCTCTTGCTCTCAAAGCCAGTCTTAAAGGTGCAGAACTTAATATATAACATAAACCAGACGATTGGGGATACCAGTATCATAAAGTCACCCCAGGACACCATCCCATCCCATGCCATCCCTCCCTCACCACTGCACAGCACGTCTTCCAGAGGACCTTGCGTTTTCCCTGAAGGGTCACAGCAAAGCCAGAGGACCTCTCACAGCTCTCCACGCTCTCTGCAGAGCCTGAACTTCACACAGATGGTCACAAACAGCCATCAGCAGTGAGGAGAAGCTGAAGTTTGCAGGAGAGGCAGGATGGGTGTCAGGGCAAGCTTTGGTAGTTTTGGGAAGGGGAAGTGGTATGGAGTAGGGAATGTGATATTTGGGATGGTAAGGTAGGGCATCCTACACTTCCTGAGTAAAAGCAGGGAGTTTTCACAGCTCCATGGGACCAGGCACAGGAGCTGCTCCCATATGGAAGTACCACCAGCTCACCTTGAGGGCTGGCCATGAGCAGGGAGCCACCCTCAGCTCCTTCCCCTTGGCATCCTGCTGGTGCCCACTCTTTGGACAAGGTTTGTCCAAGTCTTTGTGTTTCCTCCATTCTCATCCCAGACTAAAGTTGGAGTCCCCTGGAATGAGGTGGCCGAGGGCTCCAGTGCAGGTGGAGCCATCAAGCTGCAGGTGCTGCTCAGTCCTGGTCCCTGTGGCCTCACTGGGGTTAGGATTAAGGGCAGTGAAATGCTGTAGTCTCCAGAGGCTGTTTTTTGGGATTGGCCACATCAGTGCATTGGAATTCCTTGCGTCCTCAGGTGGGATGCAGTAGGTGGGATTTTGCTGGGATCTGGGCACTCTGCTGTTCAGAAATGACTCCTTCAACATCCTGAGTGATCCTTGTGATCATTCCTGACCATATTTCCTGATGGGATGTAGTCCATGAGAGCTTGCGGGTGAACTGGCCATGCAGGGATGGAGCCATGCTTTCCACTGCCATGGATCGGGAGGAGGAAAACTTTTGGTGGGAAAAGCTTACTGTTGCCTCTCCTGGCACCACTGCATGCTTCACTGGAGAAAGCAACCAGGAAAAAAAATTCAGTTGGCTCCTTAGCTTGTACTGTCAGGGCAGCCATGAGGTGCAGGGGCTTTGGCTGTGCTGTTAGAGGATTTGGGAAACGTCAGCCAGGGCTGACAATAGTTCCCCAGCAGCCCAAATGTTGCTTGTCCGTCTCATGATGCCTCTTAAGACAATTCCTGAGTGCCTTGGACTGGTCAGTGATGAGGAAGGATGTGGTGTGATGTGGCAGAATCTTCTGGAAATCTCTACTGGAGCTGTCAGAGGGTGCTTAAAGCAGCCAAGATGTCCTTTGCAGTGCTGAGGTTTCTGCCTGGAGGCTGCTTTTGGGTTGCTTGAGGTTCCCTCTTACCTGTGCTGGAGCTGAGGTTGTCCCAGCAGGGCACCAAACCTCCTGTGTGCCTGGAGGTGACCTGCACCCTGATGGGAGAGAACACCTCATGGGTGTGCACTGGTGCCTGCTGCAGGAGCACAAGCTCGTGGCTGGGATCTCACCTGCCCTTCGTGGTGGAAGGGGTGGGACATAACAAGGAACAGAGCTGTTGAGAGATGGACCCATTTTTGATTACAAAAACTGCTAACATATTTCTTAATGCAGTGTTCCCTGAATGTTAAGCCTTGCCTTGGGATAAACTCAAACCTAGGACCTGGAAGATGAGTGCAAGTCTCTTCCCCCATGAATTTGTGGGGTGTGGGTTGATGATTTGTGCCCACACTGACTCTGGGAAGAAGGATTGTGTTTCCTTGCAACCCCTTGTGCTTCCAGCATCCCTAAATCCTTGCCTGAGCTTCCTTTTCATGGGTATGTTGATGAGGTTGCTGCCATGATGAGGATTTTCCTTTCTTAGTATCAATCCTGGAATCAGTAACCAGCAATTGGTACTGATTGGAATAAAACAATTACCAAGGACTCCTCTGATTTGTCCCTGAGCTTCCCTGTTTCCTGTGTTGCCCTTGGCCAGGGCAGCAGGCTGGGAGGATGCTCTGTGGATTCTGGGTTGGGGGCTGCCTGGGCTCCTCAGGGTGATGAGATGTGCTGTCTTCCAGATCCTTCCCTGCCTCCTGCACTGCTGACCACCAGCTCCACGGGGTCCCTGACCTGTCCCTGTGGGTCTTCCAACGGTGAGTCACAGTTTGGGGTTTCCATTCTTTCCAGATTTTTAGCTTTGGCCGGAGCCCATGGGACTGGATGTTGCAATTGCAGCAGTTACTGGGATTTAGAATTTATCTGGCTCGTGTAGGCTCAGTGGAGAGCAGGGGAGTCCCTCAGAGTCCACCCTGGGACCTGTGATGCTTGCAGGTGACACCAGCTGGGGGTGGAGCTGCTACCTTGGAGGACATGGAGAGAACTGTTGAGAGAAAAAAACAAATTCTGAGGACAGCTGGTTGCTGAGAGAGGCTGTGTGTGCTCCATCCTTGGAGGTTTTCAGACCCCAAAGGAATAAGGCCTGCTCTGACCTTTGTTCTGGCACTGCTGTGAGCATAAGCAGGACTGAAGACTGACCTCAGGAGGTCCCATGGACTCCTCTCCCACTGAGAGGCTCCTTCCCATGGCAGGGAAGTGCCCAGGGGATGAGCACGGTGGTTGCTGAGTCACCAGGAAGAGGAAGCTTTTCCTTGTTAACACACAAGGTACCCCAGCACACTAAGAGCAGCACCACACCCAAGCAAGGGGTCTGCAGCTCACCCACCCTGCTGCCCAGGGAATATTTTGGGCAGTGGAGAGGTTTTCCTGCCCTCTGGCACTTGGTTTATTAGCAGTTGAGGCTGCTACATTGATTGTATTGACAGGTAGTGCACACCCCAGTTAACTTATTGGGAGCAGCAGCAAAAATCCAGCTGGCACTCCGCACCCATGGCACTGAAACATGCTGGATTCTTTCCAACACCGTTGGGTTTCTGTAGGAAGCAGGCCCTTGGCTCCACAGCTGGGCATGGCTGTAGGCAGGTGACCACAGAGGAGGACTGCTGGGATGTGGTCACTGGGGAGTCTCTCTGGTAAACCAGGGATCCCATCCTCCATGGGATGATTTCCCGTGGTTGGTGAATGCTGAGGATCTGCCCAAACCTGTTTGCAATATAAAGAAAAATTTAAGTTCTGCTTGCCTAAGCCCATACACAGCCTGGAGGTGATGCTCTTGATCATTCTTCCCCAACCCCTAAACAAGACTGTGTTTTATTTCTCTATGAAATTAAGCAGTTTTGGTCTTTCCTCTGTGCTGTGCTTTAACCTCTGCCATATCCTGGTCTGCAGGCTCATGCCGTGGACTGCTGGGCTCCCCGCCACGCTCAGCATGCCCTTTTCTGGTGCAGCCAGACCCTCCCAGGAATCACTCTGGAGCTTGAGGCCGTCCTGTAGGGTAAGGTAAGGTCCTTCCCAAGTCATAGAATCCCAGAATTGTTCAGATTGGAAGGGTCCCCTTAGAGCTCATCTTGTTCCATGGGGACATCTTCCACAGGCCCCGTCCAACCTGGCCTAGAACACTCCCAAGGAAGGGGCAGCCATACCTTCTCTGGGCAAATCCTGGAAGGAATAGTCTTTGCAGGTCCCTGAGGCTGTAAAACATCTGCAGGGAGGATGCTGGGGCCTCTCTCCTGTATCCCTGCAGGTCTCCCATGGAGCCATCTCCACCCTCGCCGCCTGCTTTCCGCCACGTTGGCCATTCCATTAAAACCAGCAAAAGAGCTAAGCTGGGAAGTGATTTTCATCAGCCACTCTGCTTTTGTGACTAAAATAGATCTGGAGTGGCCCTGGGCCATCATGTTGTCCCAGGCATTGACTAGCACGAATGGATGGCGGGGCAACATTTTCCATTAGTGGAGAGGAGGATGTGTGTCTCCGAGGGAGAAGACAGCTCCAAAAAGCAGAAATGTTGTAGCGACAGACAAACCCATTTCTCTTTTCTCCCATTCCTTTTACAAGTGTTGCTTATCCCTGTTTCCTGCACGGAAAACGTCGGGAGAGTCCAGCCAGAGCAAACAGCCTGCAGCTGCAACATGAGGGTGTGTTTTGGATAGAGGGCTGGAGGTTTCCCAGAGGAGCTGCAGGTGACCCAGTAAGGCACAGCAAGGATCAAACTTGCCAAAAAAGACTGTGAGGAGGTTTATCTGTGACCTCTGGTGATGTGGTGGGTACTGGTTATGTCTGGTCTGAGGTCTCTGCCATCACCTGTCCAGCAAGTGTGTTTTATTCTCTGGCTCTAGTGAGTACACTTTCCTGCAATATAAGGCTGAATTTGGGTGGACTTCACAAAATCTCATAGCTCCCATCTCCCTCTGGTAAGGTCTCTGACATCATTTTTCTGCCTTCTCATGCTCCCTGTCCACCATCCCATCCCTGCTCTCAGGTCTGTGTCCCGCCCCTCTCCCACATCCGCAGGAGGGAGCCAAGCCTGGTGTGTGTCTATCCAAGCCCTCCCCGAGGCTGTGTCTTGGACCTCTTGCCCCGTGGTGTGCCATCCTCAATTCAGGGCTGATCCTGTGTGTGTGGTACCTTGACCTTTTTATAGAAAAACTACAGCTGGGAGAGACAACATGGAAGAGCACAACGTGGGATTCTGGGCATTGTCCTGTGCAGGGCCAGGAGTTGGACTCGATGATCCTTGTGGATCCCTTCCAACTCAGGATATTCTGCGACTTTACACTGGAAAAACTGCTGCTCCGTCTTCCATCCAGGTGATGGGATGAGTGGTCACTGCTGAAGCTGTAAGATGGAGATTCTACAGGGTTAGCAATGTGTTCAGGTGGGAATGCTGATTCTGGAGATGCTGTCTGGTGGGAATTGTCCATTCCAGCAAGGCAAACAGCTGTGACACGAGGCTGCAGGGTGGTGATGGGGATGTGCCCGCCAGTGCCAATCCATTTCTCAGTTTGATCCTAGTGCTCAATCTGACCTTGAAAGTGAATGAGCGGAGCTCACCCATTGATCCAAACTGGGCTGATGAGCCCCATGCCCTGCGGAGAGCTCGGCCCCCAGCGCCAGCTCCCTCTCTCCCCCTTTTGTTCCTGCCTCCCCTTCACGCCTTTCCAAAGCCATCAGTCAGAGTGTAGCACCCCGGGCCGCTGACCTTGCTGGGGGCCAGGGGGACAGCATATAGGTCCCTGTAGAGAGCTATCCCACTGTCTGATGGGCTTCTCCCAGCTGCCACTGCCACCTCTGCACTGCTGGTAAGCCTGGCATCCACCTGCCATCAGCTTGGGACTGTGGGGAGGCCTGGGACAAAGCAAAGGGGTTGGTGCCCATCATGCCAGGAGCCACATTTTTTGTAGGCAGTGGTGTTATCTGCCAAACTGTGCGCCAGTTCTCCTGATTTAAGGGCTCTGATGGCTTCACATGGGGAAACTACAACTTGAAGCATCTTTTAATCTTAGCTAAAATGTCACATGAACTGGCAAAGTGTATTTTTTTACCTGTTGGGAAGCAAAACCTGATTTGAGGTTGGAAACCTAGAATTCGCCTTGGCTAATATGTAGAAAGGTCAGGTTTTGGGAGGAAAGAAGGTGATGGGCCTTCACTTCGCATCTTCTGTGCTTTAGCCACAGATATTTTCCCGCAGCTGAAAATAACAAACCATTTTAATCTAAGTATTGCTTGTTCTGATCTTTTAATCCAGCTTGCTTTCTATGGGCACAGCGGCCTAAAATGATTTATCTGCCTGCCTCTCTATTATATAATTATTGGGAAGATTACTGAGGAGCCAGCTTTAGCTTCTCTGGGGAAGGAGGAGGGGGCCGAAAGGTGGGGCGAGGGATCATGGAACCACAGAATCGTGGAATGCTTTGAGTTGGAAGGAACCTTAAAGCTCATCTCGTTCTGACCCCCTGCTGTGGACAGGGACACCTTCCACTATCCCAGGGTGCTCAGGTTTCTTTGTGGCCATCAGAAAACACAGGAGGGGCAAGCAGCGAGCTGGGTGCTTTGGGCTGTGGCCATAGTTTGCATTTGAAAATTTTAGTGTTTAAGTTTCTCCCTCAATGTGCATTTGTTGGAAGTGAGTTCCCAGTGATTTGGCTGAAGCATGACCCTCTGAGCCAGAGAAGATTTGGGTGAAACCCTGCACTTTTTCTACACTTATTTGGGGCTTATTATGGCTGTACTTGTGGTTTTGGGAGCACTGTGATTTGAGACAGTCTGGCCTTGGGAATAATCTGGAATTAGGGGCTGTGCTCCTGATGCTTCAGGAGGGGGAACATCTGCAAGGAAGAACCAGCATTTGGGACATGGTGGTGATGCCAAGAAGGGCTGGAGGTGCCCATGGCTGTTTCATCAAGCTCAGCTGGTCCTCCAAGGAGCCTTAGGTGCTTAGGAGAAGGGCTTGAGCCCTTGAGTGATGGGGTGGCTGGGGCTCTGCAGAAGTGACATCCAAGGGCAGATGCCCAAGGTAGATTTGGCTGCAGCTTGAAGGTGAACAGATGTATCCCTGGCATGGAAAGACAGCACAGCCAAGGGTTGGCACAGCCGGGTGGGGACTTGGGTTGATGGAAAAATGCAGCTTCTGACTGGTGCAACCAATGTACTTGAGCTTCGATGGACAGAGCATGAGGATGTCTGGGGGCTCCAAAAACTCCTTTTTCCTTCCCCAGTCTGAATGTCTGGCCATTGAAGGGCTGGTATCTGCCCTGGCTGCTGAGGGAAGGACAGGAGATGCTTTGCCTGTGGACCGTGGCCAGCTGGGATGTGGTGGCTCAGAGCTGGGAACACCCCTAGCACCAGTCAAAATCAAATACTGGGAGCAGTGGCTTGGCTTTCCTTACTCCACAGCATCTCAAGGACCTTTTTGGGATCCCCAGAATTATGCTGCATTTTGAGCTGGGTGAGTGTCTGTGTGGGGACACTGAAACAGCCTTTGGGCCTGGTGAAGCCATGGACTGGTGGGAGCAGGTGGTGCCCACCCAGAGTGTGCCACTGCTCTTGGTCCAGCTTCCCAGAAAGCTGTTCCAGCAGCCTCCAAAGGAGGAGATTGTCATCTCTTGGAGCAGTTTGGTGTGTCAGCCAGGAGGGCAGCAGAGGATGGGAACAGCTGAGGAGGGGTCAGGAGCAACATTGGGGCACGAGATCATCTGGTTTGGGTGATGGAGCAGTTGTAACACATCCCCTTCCTGCAGGGAGCCAGATGAACTCTGGGACGTGCAGGCAGCGCTTCAGCAGGGTCCTTCCCACTGTGATGCTGCCTCTGAGGTGGAGGGTTTAGCACAGGTCTCCTGTCCCTCCCAGAGGCTCTGGCCCCACACTGGGTGGGCAGGCACCCCATAAAACATGCCCAAATTTCCCCCTGCGTGTGGGCAGCGCACCGGAGCTCATCTCGTGCTGAGATCCTTTCTCCTTCACATTGGAAGCATTGGCTGGCTTGACCTCATTGCCTCAAGGCATCCAGATTTGCTCAGTGGCCTTTAAAAAAAAATAATAAAAATAAATAAATAAATCAAAGCCCATGAAATGACAAGAACATCAGCAGTGGGTGCATCCCCCTTTCCAGCAAACCCAGGGATTTGGGAGAAAACAGGTCACGTGCCGTTCATCCTGTGCCACGTGGTGGGTCTCCCATGGCCAATGAGGTTGGGAGCCCTTCTGCGCCGAACAGCGGAATAAGAAAAAAAAAAAAATCACTGGGATTTTTTTCCCCCCTGTAGCATTTTTCATCCTTTCCAAACGTGAAAAGACTGGCCATCTGTCTGGATCCCCCTCCCGCCAAAGCGGCACGAAAGCGGCTCTTTGGGAAAGGTAAGGAGATTTAAAAGATTGTCTTGGTGGAAGACCACCTGCCACGGGCAACTTTTCCTACCAGTGTAAGTCAGGGAAGGATCCTGGAATGAGCCAGGTCCCGGGCTCCAGTGTGGGTTGGAAGAGCTTGGAATGCTTAGGAGCAGTTTTAAGGGAATCTCTCGTGGAGGAAATTTAAGCCTGTGGCAGCGTGAGGCGGGATTATTGGAGACATCGGCACACAAGCACGGCATTCCCTTAAGTTAGTGGCTGCTCCCCAACTCTCTCCTTGGAGAAATTCCCCAAACAGTATTGGGAAATTATTTTGCCAAATATTTGTTTGCTTTTGTTTTCAGGGAAAAAAAAAAGCCAAATATTTTTTGTGAGTTAAATTTGACAAATCTCACTGCAAATTTCTTTTGCAAAATTGTCGTTCTCGAAGCGTGTGCTTTATTTTAGTTAAATTCCATTTTACCCGTGCCTGGCAGCCAGTGCCAATGATTGTCTCCCTAGGTAGGGAAGTGTCCATCTCTTCCTTAACCAGAATATCCAGCTGTTCCTAAATTCCATGATTTGCAGCTCAGGCTTTGGACAGTGTCATTTGTGTGTGCGCTTGGGTGGGAATGGCACAAATGGAATTGCCTTCAAGAAATGGACACAAATAACAGGGATGTTAATCATGTCTTAGTGTGGCAACATAATAAAACCCCCAACCCTGATTAATTTGATTTTTATGTTGCATTATTTTGTTTCATTTGAAGTATTTCTGTTTATTTTTGGTTCCAGTATATTTCCAAATTTTTAATATTTTTATTTTGAATTCCATTCTTGTTCCAATATTATTTAAAGAATATTTCTAATCCGTTCCACATCCATTAATTTTTAATGCTATAAATATTCGTATTATTTAATTCCATCCTATTTCCATTATTTTTCTTCTTTTTTCTTCCTTCTGGGGGGGAAATTTGATTTGGAGAGAGGAATCCCTTTTATTATGATTCTCGCTTTGTTTTCTGTTTGCCCTCAGATACCCATTTTCCTCAGGGTGTCAAAATTCTTCCTGATACCATCATGTTTCTGTTGCATTTTCTTTGGTTTCATCATCACTTTATAAGTAGAAAAGTGAAATGTAAGTGGCAAATATTGTAGATGACTTAAAAGCTGTTGAAATCAACCCCAGATTATCATCTCCATACTATAAAGGAAAAATACTCTCGGATACGTTTTTCTCATAATCCGAGTTTTCTGGGAAAATGTAATTTGAATGTGAACTATCTTAAAAGATACGATTTTATTAACTGGAAGTCACGTTCAGCTTAAAAATAAACCAGAAACAGTGGCTCAAGGACGTTGTGTTTAAGTTTCCATAAAATGATTGACCTTTGTTTTGACAGATGCAAGGACAGATGCTGGGCTGCATTTTGATACAGAAACCTAACTCTGAATTAAAAAAAACCTGCAGTCATTCTTTACTAATAGCTGGGGTTTTGTTCTTAATACAGAATTCCAGAATAACTCAGTAATTTTTCTGAAGCTCTTAATCTCAGACTTCCCCCTTTCTTTTAGGGATTCATATTTATAAATATTTTCAGTGTTCTCAGAGATGGAAGCAAATTTTTTCTTCTTGGGAAATAACAGCAGGAAATGTTCTTTTAATCTTGCTGAATTAAGAGGACGTTTATTCCTCCAAGAAGAATGGTCATTTTGAAGTGGGGACGAAAGGCGGCTGTCAAGGCAGAGGGAATAATCTCTAATTGCCTCCAACATTATTTGAATACCTTCAGAATGGCAGAGAAGCTGCGGGAATGTAGCGTGGGATGAAGGAAGAGGAATGCTGCCAAGATTGCTGGTGGATGGAGCAAATCCCTTGGTGGTGGCCAGCTCCCTTTTGAGATGGACCAGGGGGCACGGGGAGCTGCTCACACCCCACCTTGAGGAATACTCCCCTGGGTACCAGCCAGCCATGCTGCTTTAGTGGCCCCAGGGTAGCTTTTCCCAGGGGATCGATTGTTTTTTCCAGGCTCCCTCTTGGAAAATGGGTGTTTGCTGTGGAGCAGGCAGAGAGGGCACCTTGCCGGTGGCGTGGCTCTCTGTGGCGCGGGGGGGAACATGGCTGGCACACTGGGCTGAGCTTGATCCCGGTGGTGGCGCAGCACTGAGAGCCCTGGCTCCAGGCTGTGTGTGCCTTTGGAGAGCAGGGGATGGTCCCCAAACCCATAGGGTTGCACCTCTGCCCTTGAGCCCCCCAGTCCTGCAGCACGAGGGTGGGTGACAGCCCCCATGATGGGAGTCTGCCAGTTCTCTGCAGCTGCTTTCTGGCCAGCTGAGCTGGGGAGGGAATTTGAAGGCTTCCCTGGTTGGAGAGGGTTGTCTCCATCCACCACACTTTCTCCCAGCTTCCCACTGAATGCATCCATCCTGTGCTGTAATCACATGCACACACACGGATCTGGTTTAATTTATTTAGTTTGGGGGTCGCTAAGTGAGCTGGCAGCATGCAGTGGGTGCACCTTGCTGTAACCAAACCCCCTCCACTCCATGGATGCAGTTTGGGAGCTGGATACCACCCACAGCAGAGGCAGGTTGTGGTATCGGTGATATCGGTGGTGCATCCCCCACGGATTTAGACAGACCCGCAGCCCTGCAGGGATGCAACCACTGCAGTGGCTGTGCCCTCGCTGCCAGGGCCAGGTCTGGGGACGGGGTAGTCGTGACCCTGTCTCTGGCAGCCATCGTTCCCAGTGGACCCAGTTCACCCATTCCCTGGCTGGGGTTTGGCTCAGCATTGAGACCCGAGGTTACACAGGACCTACCACAGGGAGAAGGGGAGAGGAGAGGCGGCTCTCCTTGATTGTAATAGGGGTTGAGGTTTAGCTGAAGTGAAAACAGATCGGGAGTGACAGTTTTGGAGCCTGCTGTCAGGGTCTGAGCGCAGCGCACTGGCGATCCACCCCCGGATGCCGAGGGCCCCTGTCTTCCCCCTCGCCAGCTGGAGCAGGGAGAGCCAGCACTGCGCGGGACAGGGACAGGGACAGGGACAGGGCAGTCCCTTGTGCCACCGCATGGCCCTGGCACACACTGCCCTGCAGCCCCTTCCTTGGGCTGGGGACAGTGTCAGGTGGGACATGAGCCTGTGGTGGCCATCGGTGTGGGATCCCCGCTCCCATCTCCTCCGGATCCACACCAGTGGGGGCCTGGCAGAGGAGGGATGGGGTCAGTCTGCATCCCAGCCAAGCTCCTCGGGGCGCCGGGTCACTTCTCTAGGGCAGGCGTCTCCCCATGTCTCTGATCAGTCTCCCATTCCCAAAGAGCATCTGTGGCCAGGGTTAAAGTCATGGGTTTGGGATTGTGGACAAAGAGCACTGGATGCAACCGGGGTTGATGGGACCAGGGTGGTTGTGACTCCCCCTCTGCCTCCCTTGCTTGATCCCCATGTGTTTTCTGTTCTGCACCTAATCTGTCCCTAATGTCCCCAGCATGGCAGCTGGGGAAAGGAGGAAGACCTGTTCCTGCATCCCTGGATTAGCAGGGGCTAGGACCTGGCCCAGGTGCTTTGAGAAGCTGCGTGGCATTCATGAGAGTAGCCCCAGCCCGTCATGTTTCTGTCCAGCATTGCCTGGACAGACCCCTCCGGGGCAGCCCATGTGCTCCAAACCTCGTCCCTGTTTCCAGGGATTAGAGAAATGGAGATGAGATGAAGCAGTAGATTGCTTTGCTCTCAGGATGAAGGGATTTGTGGGCTGCCCCCAGATCAGTGGATTGAAAATGGAGGGAAGCAGATTGAAAATGGAGGAAATTATTGGGATGATGCTCCCTGTGGGATTAAAGCCAGGGCAGCCGGCAGGCTCTGGAGGAGGAGGGGAATGAGGGGGGGTCGTTGGATGGCTGCTGCTGGGCACTGTGGAGAGATGCTCTCGGTTGCACCCTCATCTGTTTCGGCAGATGCCCTGGAAGGTGGACATTTTCCTGCTTTCCCAGGTCCGCGGAGGGGTTCTCTTTTCAGCTGTCCCCCCAGCTGCAAGGATGGGAATGTGCCTGGAGCCTTTTGCAGTGCTGTGCCTCTAATTTCCAGAATGCTGGAGAGCAAGCTGCTTGTCTCTGGAGGTCCATACACCTCCCTGTGGTCTCTCTTTCTTTGCGAGCATCCAGCATGGGTCTATGGCCATGAGCATCCTTTTTAGGGAGTCCTTTGGGCTCCCCTGAAAAATGGCATCTAAAATCTGGCACTTAGGGGGCTGATATTTGACTAGGGGGCTGATATTTGACTGTCTCATCCCTTGGGGTGTGTTTCCAACTGCACTTGCTCCTTTGCGGCAAGAGATGGGTGCTTTGGGGCTGATGCACAACCCCAGCAGAGCATCCCTAGGGCATCTGTGGAGGCATCTCCTGCTGCAAGGTGACATCACCTGGTTTCCATTCCTTGGCCTCTGGCTGGGAGGAAAAAACCCTGAATTGGGTGCATTTGGCTCGGTGTCAAGGTTCTAAGTGTGGTTGTTTAACAGAGATGAGTTGTATTTGCCAATACGTGAATGTTTGGAAGGTTTAAAGAAGGTTAACTTGCAGCATGGCGTGGCTGTGGAGAAGTTCTTTTCCTGGATCTTCTTCAGTGCAGCTCAAGCCCCTCGCTCAAGGCCCTGCGTCCCTCTGCCCCCTGTGCTGCAGATCCTTGCCTCCTCCAGCCCTTCCCCATGGGGCTGTGTTTGCTGGCCCCAGGAGTGTAGGGTTGCTCTCTGCTGCCTGGATCTCTTTGAAGAGCCATTTCACCATTCCTGGTTTCCTTCTGCTGATCCTGCAAGTCAGCTTGTCACTCCCAGCCACTTTCAGATGGATGGGGACCACTTCCTCTGTTCCTGTGCACTTAATTGCACCCAGTTAAGTTCAGTACTTTGCCTTGCAAAATTCCATCTTATTTTCTTCACATTGCCAAGCTCATTTTGACTTCCTGCTCTGCTCACCAAAAGCTTTCCCCACCTGTGTTGTCACCTGGCATTTTAACAGAAGCATCTCTGATCAGTGTTTTG